TCACATGCTATTTACTCACAGAACTAAATTCCTCAGGTGTTTCATTACAACTCCTACAGCTAGACCCTTGCCACATACTTTCAGCTGTGCGTGACTGCTGAAATTTTCAGATACTGGCTGTCAGATTGCCAATTTTCTTCCTGGAAGACACTGAAAACCCAACTGCTTTGCACCGGCGTTCAGAGCTGGGAAGCTCCCTGGTGTGTATTACCAGCTGGGTATGTGCTAGTCTCCAGCTGCTTTCGTTGTCTTCCTAAATTTTCATCCTGTAATCTCAGATTTCTACAGCTGGAAGGGAGCTGGGATCTTGGTGGTGGACAGACAGAAGAAGAAAAAAAACCAAACACCCAGAGATGTTGGCACACATAGTGAGACAAAAGGTTCAAAATAAAAAGAAAAGGTACGCTAATACACTGAGACACCCTGATTCATGGTGACTGAAACCTTACAGGCCGCTTACCCTTAATGGAGGAGCAGCCCTCAACAGACCTTGAGGGAAGTGCTTTCCCTGCTATCTTCAACAAAGGCCTTTTTTTTTCTTAATTCCCCTTTCTCCTTCGAGTTGGGGCCTCCCAACCCTGCCCGCCTACATAAATGAGACTAATGGCAGTATTGGGGTTGCAGGGAGCACATCACACCTGTGCGCATGCCTCTGCTCAGGGAATCATCACAAAAAACAGCTCAGCCTGTCTGGAAGTGTCACCAGTCATTTTTCTCCATCTGCCTGCTTCCTCATTCCTTTAACCTGTTTGCGGGAACGGGACCTAATGACCGTACCTTCTGAGCCATGACGGCTGCTGTTACTCTCACCTTAAACTCTGGGAACTGATCGCCAGGAGACAGCCAGTATCTGAGCAGGGGAGCTGCACTGGGAACGTCTTTGCAGAAGACAGAGGTATACTGTTACTCCCAAACCTAAATGACCAACCCTGTTGTTCTTCAAGAAGACACTCGAGTCGTTCAGTCCTTTAGTGTTTCTAGCTGCTATGCTACACTACTTCCTAGCATACACGCAGCAGATATCCAGGATTTTCAACATACGCAGTGTCATCAAACATGAGCAGCTTCTGAGGCGCAAGGTATGTCACACAACATTACAGAAGTTGTGCAGACTAGAGAGAAAGGATGAAATCTGAAAAACAGCTTTCACAAAGTCATTGAAACCATACTCCTCTGCCTTCACATGTTCCAAGCTCAGTCGTAGAGAAGAGTTTTCTTTCTTCCAAATGAAAAGGCAGTACTTTCAGGGCATTTGCCATTAACATATAAAATGTACAGGCTGAAGTTTGCTGGTGCACAGAGAAAGCATTATGTAACAGTGTTCCTTAATTCCCTGGGGAGAAGTGCTGCCTCCATACAGGGGGTCAGTGCCTGTTGGTCAATCAACAAATCCCTTGATGCTGCAGCAGCAGATCCCTCTGTCTGCTCCACACAGTTCTTCCAGACACACAAATCCAGAAAACTTGCCCCAAGACCACAGGATTGGGATCCCATGTTGGAAAGTTCAGGAATGCAAAATATAGGAACATAAGGGCTGGAGCAGTAGGGACTTGTAATGAGAGGATTAGGGAGGCAGCGGCGCAGTCATTCCCTAGGGGCTAGCAGAGACAAACTCTGACTCCTCGCTGCTGGAATCCAAACTGAGGCCTGTAGAGTTCTGTACAGAGCCCTCATCCGTTGAAATTGAATTTGAGAGCTTTTACAGAATCAATTAAAAATTAAAGTTGGTGAGCGAGCAGTAAAGGGTGTCTGAAAAATGAGAATTGCATTTGAAAAGGTATTTCAAAATAACATTTAATATTATTAAAAGAATTACATTCAAATAGAGTATCGAATACACTTCGCCATTACTTTATGCTCCGTATTTCAAGTTCTGCTGTTCTTTGTCAGTCACCTTGGTCACACCTACCCTTTTTTTTCCTTCAGGAAAATGAAATCCTTTTGAATATTTAAATACGTCTCCCTCTGTGTATCACGCACTGTGACTATGATAACCCAAAGGTGAAGTATCCAAAAGACAAAGCCAATCATGATTATTCTGAAAACAAGCAAAGAACTACACAGCAAAGCAAAAGCATTTTCTCCCCTGCTCTCGATACTGAGTTCTAGGCTACAGTTTTTCAGACTCATCTACAGTCAAGTTGAACTGCCTGGGCAATACCAGTGTTAGAGCAGTACAACCCTCCTCCTTCATGTGGATTTAACAGCAGTAGCTTAAGAAGTGACTACAGTTAGGCCCACATAGAGAAAAGGAATAAGCTTACACTGCTAGAGATACCTTTAGGCCTATGTAACCATGCCCCTCCACCACCCAAGGAGGACTTTTTTTTAGTGAGAGCCATTTCTTCCTTATTCACATGCTATTTATAATGATCTGCTTACGTAATAAATTTTAAAGAACTTTTTTCTTAAGAATTAGATTCTGCTGCAGGGAAAGGGTTCTGTATGTCACAAATCTGAAGTCGTTTAAAGCAGTCATCTGCAGAACCACAGGGCAAAAGTAAACGTGTGTATGAAGGCAGGAGTTACATGCAAGTGGTATTTTTGTAGAAGGTAAGATCACCTTAGAAGGTAGAGGGTTGTACAGAGCGAAGTCACAGATTCTGTTTTTAAAGTTTGCCCCCACAGCTGGGGAGGAAGTGGCTGATGTCCAATGCCTCGTACATCTGAAGCCAGAATGAGGCATTGCCTTTCGAGGGGAAGGATGACAAAAACCCTCAAAGTGACTGGTTCACCACCTCCAGTTAGTGAGGAAACTGTGTGAACGCACAGGTTTCTAGCTTATGGGAGAACATAAAATAAGAGGTTTGATGGCAAAAAGTTGTCTTAGATTTTAATAGCCCTTTTGACAGCATCTCATCAGGATTTTAAGGGAAATACCCAAGTATGGAATGCAACCACCAGAAAGCTGAGAGTAAAACTACCAAATCCTCCTGAGTATTAGCAATATTGTCTTTAAAAATTATTGATGATAAGTAATAAACACAAACACTTTAAAAATACCCTGCTCCATTTTTCAAATAATGCTTTAAAAGGATAACTTTTCACCTGTGCTCATTCCAGTAGCATTAGAGGTCGTTAATAAATTATATTAATACAAATAATTCACATTCATAGTGACTGCATAATATTACACTTTAGTATCACTTTCCTTAACAGTAAAAATGCAAAGCTATTTAAGTTTAGCATAAGCTTATTATAGTATTATCTTCACAGAGCATTACAGTATTATCACAGTAAAGCATGTTGTTCAGTGTTTCATTATTTCAGTTTATAATCCAAAGATGAAAACTTCATAGATCTATAGGTAAAAAACACTGCAGAGTGGCCTTCCAAGGCTGTTGTGTAAGTTTTGGGGGGGAAAAAAAAAAAAAATCCATGACCTCACAACCTGGTGACATCAAACCACACATTTTGTATGTCCTTTTCTAATTAGCAAACCCGAGAGTGGTGAATTCCAGTACCCAGCACATTTACCTCAGCTGCGATGTTCCAAATAGTAGCACATACCAGTCTACAGGTATGTCTTACCTCTCTGGATCTTTTATTTCTGGAGGCAAAGGTGTTTAAATAAGTAAAATAAAAAGAGCAGACAAAGCTTTTCACCATGAAAAATATGATGATAAACTTCCCCTCCCAGACAAATCAGCATTACAAATCAGTCAGATATGAATAAACTAAATATGAAAATTCAGCGAGGCATACCTCCTCATTTAAAAAACCTTCTACCAAGCCTTTTGTTGTAGGTGTTGCTGTGATGGCGCTTATCCGCTGGCCACCAGAAGTGTCCTTCAGACACGCAGTTGGGCTGTTTGGTGGTAGAACTAATCTCTGTCCCCCATGCCCTGGGCCATGAGACAGCAGCGCAGTTCTGAAATGAGCTCCACCTTGCGCATTACTGTAGTCATGGCACTGCGACGATCTCCCTATCTTTTTTAACACCTAGGAACAGCCAAATACAGTCTTTTATATAAAAAGGGTTATCTTTTTTTAAAAAAAGGACCTTTCAATTAGGCTGTGGGCGTACAGCAATTTATGTTTTTACAGAACTATATTTAGTTGCATTTCAGAAGTCGCAAAGTGACCTTGGTCACCGAGGAAAAAAGTTTAACTTAAAAAACTGAATTAGGATATTTTTACTCAATTAATTAAAATAACAGCCCCCCCCAACGTAATGTAAATTACAAAATGTTACTGCATGGATTTGCCTTTTATGCATGTTTGTCTTTTATTTAGGAATCGCTGCTCCTGAAGAATGCTATCATGGTACAGAGGTCAAATTACAAACGTGGTAAGCCTGCTGTTATCTGCACACTGCTAATACTTATAAAATATGTTTGAAATTTAGGTGATTTCTTAAGAAGTTGGTAAGTTTTAGGACAAGTTAAAGAAAGTAGAAGTAGAAGCGGGGTTCAGCCCCAGGAAATGGCTTGTCTGCAAACTGATTGTACACTGACATGCACCATTAGCTTCCTCTTAAGTTTACTTTCAGAACACAGTTCCAAAAGCAGTTTAGAATGCTTACTCAAGATGTTACTGGATAAATGGTACAGTTGCTGCTTTTACCAAGTCAAAAATAATCTTCCTTTATTTACAAAATCTCTTTAATCCTTCACGCTGAAAACAAGTAATACAGTAACTATGATAAATTGCCACTAAACTGTACATTTTTTCCAACACCACCACCCCCCCCCCCGGAACTCAAAAGCAGTTTAGAATGCTTACTCAAGATGTTACTGGATAAATGGTACAGTTGCTGCTTTTACCAAGTCAAAAATAATCTTCCTTTATTTACAAAATCTCTTTAATCCTTCACGCTGAAAACAAGTAATACAGTAACTATGATAAATTGCCACTAAACTGTACATTTTTTCCAACACCACCACCCCCCCCCCCGGAACTAAGAAAACTGGGGGGGGAGGGGGGAGAGTTAGAGAAGAAAAATTGCAGCACTTTTCCCTTTTTTTGCTATTTTTTTCACCAGGTGTCTGATGTGTGGTTTAACTTTCCATGTTTTCAAGGAAGTCACATTCAACACTCTCTTCAAGCTGTTGCAGGATATTTGTGCCATGACTGCCAACGCAGTCCGCAGAGAGGGGTGCAGAAGTACGTGAATTCTGGGGCTCGCTCCTGTTCGCTGTAAACGCGCAACACAGAGTCCTGAAGAAGGGCATGAGCTGGGTGATGCTGGCAACAGAGCGCACATTCAACAGAGGAAACTTGTGCTTCTTGGGAATTCCCTCAGTGTTGTTTGTTTCCTGTAAGCAAAGAGAGGTTTACTAAAGGTTTGGCATTAACACACAGTGATGTTATGGGGTGTCTGAACCCTGTAGTAAACACTTTTTCCATCCTAAGAGATCCACAGCCTGCAGCTGTACCACGATATAAACTGTATAGCTGGTGTACCCAGTTACTTTTGTACTGGGATGGGAGGTTCCATTTGTTTTGACAAAGTACAGCAAGCTCTTTTTTATAAATACTGGTGAGTCCAAGACAAATTGCTTTCACTGGGTGGTTGTGGGCACGTTTAAGGGAACAATAGGAAAGCTGCCTAAAACGCAATTTGACCTCTTCAAGGTATGTATGTGAAAGGAGGCAGATAATTTTTAAAAGCCTCAGGAATTTTATTAGAATATCTGAAAACTTCTTGCCTAACTTAAAATCTTGTCACTTGTTTAGAAAAGTAAGTTAATGGATTAAAAAAAGGAAGAAGATTCAAGTGAAGCATTCTTTCCTTACCCCATATTTCATCTTCAGCAGATCCATGATTCTTAAAATGTGTGGTCTGCATTCCTGATGATTCTCTACCAGGTGAGAGGTCACAGTAGATGACTCTGTGTCCATCTCTGGAACAAATGCCCATTTGTACCTGAAACAAATGGGTTACTTGATAAGACGACAGGCAGAAAAAAATCCTTGTTTGGATCATACGTGGTTTAGTAGAGCACTGGTTTGTTTTCAGAAAGAGCCGTCATAACGATCATTTTATTCTATTACCAGGGCCAAGATCAATGAACAAGGCGTCACTGTCACGTCAGTATTTAAATTATACTGGCTCCAAACAATTCCCATGTGTGTACAAAGGGAAAACAAAAACCAGTCTCTGTCTTTCTCTTCTCCCAATTTTTCCAAGTTAGAGAATGTCGTAATGAGGATGGTGAAACCCTCCGACACTGACAAGACCAAATTATTTTTCCAAATACCCGATTACAATTGTCTGATCAACAGCACCTGCACTTGTAAAAAGAACCGACGTAAAGTTAAGCCTACAAGAAAATAGATCTGGAATTACTTAAAAGGATAAGGATGGTAACAACCTGGGCAACGGGTAAGTAATTAGAGGACTTACATTTGAAACAACTGCATCTTGTCAGGTGGAAACGAAAGTGCTGTGTCCAAAAACTTGCAAGCTGATAAGTACAAGGACAGCTCATTCTGCTGTATGTCAGATCCACTGCCATCCCCTGACATTTTCTGTTTGCTTATTTTGCTGTTGCTCCTGTGTCGGTTACAATTAAGAAACATCCCGTTAAAGCGTAAATCCACTAAATGTTTTTCATTCAGCAAAAATACACACATTTACACAAATGAGCACTTGCACCTGTGCCCAACAAAACCTATTTTTATTCTGTATGATCACTGTGATCAGTAGAAAAGGCTGTTAGAAGAAAAAATAATCTATAACATTCAGAAAAAATGTTAAAGTATTCAAATGCTGACTTAGCATCTCTTCTGTTTTTGTATGCAACTAAGTGGTACCTATGTTTTTTGAACATATCACTATTTTAGCTGCAGAACAAAATCCTAAACTATCATTCATCAGTACCAGAAATACACAATTGCAGTAACAAAAAGCCTGTTGTCTCCTCTCTACCCCAGAGAATTAATGAAATAAATAAAACCTTGCGGATACAGAACACACACAATTGTTACCAGCATTCCAAAGTTCTCTATCAGACAAACGCAAATTCTTACTTTGATGGTTCATCTTCCTCAGTTAAATCCTCTTCCAGCTGTAGAAATGTCTGAATCTTTAAAGAAATGATTTATTTATGGAGATGCTGAAATGTTCATACAACTCAATCACAAAAAAGATGCTTCCCACACTATAAGGAACCACAGACTCTGTGTTTACTCTTACGACTTGCAGCAAATTAACCAGTCGTGCGAGAGATTACATTAGCTACAACAACCAAAAATAATCAAAAGGTGTTTCCTAATAACAATGTTAATTCTTTTCCCAAATGATCAGACTGATGTAAAACTATGAAAACATTTCCTTGTTTAAACAAGGGATGTTTGGGGGGAAGAAAAAGGTGAAACGGGAAAAACACACACCGAGGAGTTTCAAATTACTACTTTCCCCTTACCAATTCAGTTACCATAATTGGCCACAAGGAGGTCAGATGCTGAGGAGAAATCCTTAACAGAAGAACTCTGAAGAAGAGAAACATCTGCGCGGCAACTATAGAAGTCTGCCCAACACGGAGGTTCTCAGTCAGTCGTTCTGAAATAAACATAAAAGAAGTAAAACAACAACAACAATGGAGTTCTATTTCCCTGAATATGCGTTGTTTTGGGAAATAAAACCCGTAGAAAGTGGCAAAACAAAGTTTGTGCTTTATCATCGGTGTGGGGCCGGGTCCCTTGCACTCAGTTAACAAAACTGGGATTCAGAAAGAGTCTGACATCTAAAGAGAACAACAACAGCAGCCCAAGAGGGGCTGGAAGATTGCCATAAAATAATCACGTTTCCAGTTATATTTCCAGACTAAAGGCTTTGGAACCCACATTCCTGTCCTTCTCATAATAGGATTATTTATTTGTTAGAATTCAGAGATTCACAGCATCATAAGTTTTTAACAAAACTTTTAAAAAATGGAAATACGTGTTTGGAAATAGATGACAGTCTTTTCTTACACAATTTATATGTGTGTTACAGCTGGGAAAAAAAAAAAAGGCAGGTGAAATTACGGATCTTACCTTGTATTAAGGGAAGATAGAGATGATACTGATCAATCTCTCCACTGAAGACAGCGAAAGCTTGCCGCTTCAACAACATCGCTTTTTGCTCAAAACTTGGGTACAGTTTTAAGGCGCTGCTCTGCATATCTACAACACAGAGAAGAATTATCCGTCACATAAAGACTTACTGGGCTGAAAATAATTCCTGGGTCCTGAAATCTTTTAAAAACTCTCTTTGGGTCTACTAATTCGAATAATCAATTGGTGTTGATCCACCTCTGCTCACGCGAGCAGGAAAACAACATGAAACAAGCACTGCAGCTCTAATGAGGCTGCCCACTATTTTAAACCCCTCTCTCTGCCCTTATGCGCGTGAATATTCCCCTCTTCTCAGTCTCCTAAACCCACAGATGAGTGATCTCAGAGCTTTAAGACTTACTGAGAAAAACAGGAGGTAAGTTGAAAAATATACATTGTTAAAAAAAAAGTGCATTATGAATGAATCTCATACTGTAACTCTTCAAATATTCTTTCAAAGCATCTGAAAAAGGGACTAATGCTGCTTTTTCTTTTGAAGCTCCATGCAAATTTAAGGGGTTCTATTCCGCTCCCTCCCCACTTTCTTCTAGGCTCTCCTCAAGCCTGAATTAGAGGTCAAAGGACGTTGCTCAGAGGTTTGCGGGACCGGTGCACCACATTCCTACAGCTCGATATCAGCGCACAGACACCTGCAGTTAGCCAAAAAGTCTCCTTGCGTTCTAACAGGGGATGGCTGCAACAAGTCACAATTCAGCAACTTAAAACGATGGCAAAATGTGAATGCAGGAGTCCAACATTAGCATTTCTACAACAAAAATACTTACAGGGTGTTTTAGACATGACCAAAATACAGAATTAACTCAGCACAGCTTTTACCTGTGAATGAAGCTGGCGACATACTCAATTATGCAGATGCACTGCCTGCATTTTATTGATACATTAGTATATTAAAAAGGTACCCAATAGCTCAAATGCAAATAGATTTCAAATTAATATAGAAATAGGTTATCAGTAGCTGATACTTACTCATCAAGTCTTTAAACATAGTTTTCTCGTGTGTTAGAAGATGATCAATAATGGCTCTCCAACTGAGTAAGATATAGAAGCAATTAGATAACCAGAGAAAGCTTTAGTATGGATTCACCTCAGAAAAGATTTTGGTCAAACATTTCGTACAAGGAAACAGTTTCCAAATGGTATCCAATATGCCGACTCCTATCTGACTTAACACATCCTGCATGGTACATCCTCCAGTTCTACTGTACGCAGTTCCCTCATCACTAAGAGGAGTATCAGCATGAGACAAACTTACTCTTCTGCACTATAATGAAAACTTCAGTACATATAATGCATTTAGTAGAATTAATTGTTCAGACCCCTTTTTAACATTATTACATTCTGTAAGAAAGCCCTAAACACAATTTTCTTCTCAATATTAGCCATTATCCTTTAAAACCTTTCTCTGCAGATTCTTTTCAGGTATCTCAGAGTGCTACAATCTCATGTCTTACTGAGTGCATGAAGTGTCCATCTGGAAAAAAGCTGGATCCATATACAACTCGACAACTTCTTTTTTCCAGGCTCGTTTGGTATAGGCATATCCACTCAATGAGCTGAGCAACTGAGCACCAGCACGGAAACTAGGAATGTTGTAGGCACTGGGGGAAGAGAATAATCATAAATACATATATTTTTTTAAAGTTAAGGTTATGTAACCAGAAAATAAACACCAGGGTTCCCCAGAACTTCTAACCAAATTCTCTCAGTGGTAGGCTATGTCTACATGAGCTCGTAACTCGGAGCAGCAGGAAATCAGTAGATCCAAACAGTTTGTGCAGAAGCCCTTCTCATTTCCAGTGTACCTGGTTCAGGGAGGTATTTTCAGATTAGGTGTATCACAGCACTGCCTGTCTCCACTACAGATGTGGTTCAAAACACCCTGCAAATAAAGTTTCCAATAAGCTTTGAACCCTTGTCAACAGGCCCCTTCAGGAGGTACCACTCTAGACTTCCCCTGCCACCCAGATAACATGCATCAGTTGTCATGTCATCATCACCTGTATAAAAGTCTCACATCAAAGGCTTTTTCTCCTTGTGCGGCCCTATGCGCCATCCCACTGCAAATCTGGACACAATGCTCTGCAAGGCACAGTAGAGAAGGAGTGTGGGGCTCCAGTTGAAACTGGTAGGAGCAAGGTGAAGGGACTCTGCATGAACTGATGGTCGTCCTCTGGCACCTCAGTTTGACTGAAGACACAGAACCATAGAATGTTTTGGGTTGGAATCATAGAATGTTTTGGGCTGGAAGGGACCTTGTAGACCATCCAGTTCCAACCCCCCTGCCATGGGCAGGGACACCTTCCACTAGACCAGGTTGCTCAAAGCCTCATCCAGCCTGGCCTTGAACACTTCCAGGGATGGGGCATCCACAGCTTCTTTGGGCAACCTGCTCCAGTGCCTCACCACCCTCTCCGGGTGTTTGGCTTGCAGCCACTGCCTCGCAGGAGGCCCAGCACAGCAGGGTGATGCCAGCATTCCAGAAACAGTTTCTGCGGTGGCTGTATGTGGGGTTTTCCATTTCTTCTGCAGATGGCGAGGGCATCAGGTATATGTGTATGACGGTACATGCCCTGGTCAACAAGAGTGACATACACTCCATACATCAAGAATCTCACTGACTCGGTTAGGGGTGAAGTAGGCAGAAAACATTGTGGTAGATACAATGGAAAAGGCACAAAAATAATGAATAGAAAAGAATAACTTCCCAAATTATTTCTGCTTAATTTTTAACCCACCCCCCTTAGGAGGGAGCATGGCAATGTCTTCAAACCCTGCTGCACCCTGAGGCTTGCTGGCTTTACTTGCTCATTTCCCAGTGACACTCAACCCTTCATCCCATTTAGGCATGCCTGATTACTCTGGAATTAACAAGCCCTGTTGGGCCACTTTTGTATAGGAGCTTCTGTTAGTTTCCTCCAAAAGGAGTTTATTTCATGCATTAAAACTGCCTGGAGTACTGAACCAGCTTTTCATAAATGGAGAGAAATAGAAATTCACTTCAAAACTGCATTACTGCTCTAATCAAATTGCTAATGTAACATAGCCACCAAGTATTATCCTGAATTCTGATCATCAATTACAGGAAAAACACTCTAAAAGCCACAATTCCATGCAAAACATGGCAACATCCCTGCCTGATGCTGCAAGCATTTGGTATGGCAGGGTTGACAGACTACTCTTAAATGTCTACGCTGAGAAGGGATTTAGCATTATCAGCATAAACTTACTGGATATGTAAGATAATGCTCCCCAAAGGGAAGTTTTGTATTACCCTACTGTGGAGGACAGCTCATCATTCAAGCTGTAAGATCACCAGAAAACTAAGGCACAAAGAACTTGGAACAGCTGACAGGCTCAGTGACTCTACAGCTGAGCAACTTTGCAAAATAATTGTTACAAAATCTTATCAGCCCAAATACCATTTAATTATACTCATCATAACTTGTGCTCTTCCAGTTGGGAAGCATGTGTGTGTGAACAGCAGGAAGAGAGTGGTGAAAAGTATTCCCAGAGGCTTGTTTTAACTAATTGTGCCTCACCGAGTCTTCCACAATGTGTAGAGAGAGAAGCTCTTCTGGGGTGTGACTCAGGACAGCAGTGGAGCTTTACAGGGCTAGGGCTCATAAAGGAAGTTGCCCTTCCCTGGGGAAAGTTTCACTTGTTAATGAGAATACTGAGACTTTATTCTAGAGCAAAAGATCAACTGTATGTTACAGGAAGGGGAGAACATACTTCTCTGTCCTATACAGTTAGCGACTAAATTAGTGAATTATTTATACAAGATTTTGTATCTCAGGTCTCCAATTCTTACAATTCTCCTTGACCATTAAGCACTCCTGAGAAGAAGAGAAAGCAAAAGTCCTATAGTGTGGTCAAAAAAAAAAATCAGATGTAAGAACAAGAAAAATCACATGTGCAGAGAGTCACCTGTGGTTGCGTAGATAAGGAAATACATAATAAAGCAAACGTGAAATCAGTGGCACCGCTTTCTCCTTCTCGTCGCTCCGGTAAACCATGTCCAAAAGAGAAGCGAGAACCTTAAAAATGAAAAGAAGGTCTTTTTAAACCTTTAGCTGATATTTCTGACAAGAGGAAAAAGCATGCCATATGAATGCATGCCACATGAGGCATATCTCTATATCTGCTGTAACCCCTAAATCCAACGAGGCCAGCTAGTCTGCCAAACAGAAATAGCTACGACTGAATTTGTTGCTCCTTCTTCCTTTGCCTTGGCAGAGGAGTTCATACCACATCAAGCATATCTCTGTATTGGCTGTAACCACTAACTCCAAAGATGCCAGCTAGCCTGCCCAAGCAGAAATAGCTAGGACTGAATTTGTTGCTCCTATCTCCTTTGCCTTAATAAAGATTTAAGCTGCCATTTAGTCAACCAGGAAAACATAATATATTCCTCTGCTCAGTAGTATCAATAAACAAGCACCCCACAGATGAGAGCAGCAACTACAAAACTGTTCCTACTTACTTCTGCAAGGAGAGAAAGAGCTTGGACACTGTATATCGAAGGAGCAGAGGCAGAAACCATTGACGATGGTGCCACTGATGTATCTAAAAGAGGCAAAATCATTTAGTTTCCCCTTCAGACAAGACATGTTCAAATTCTACTGTTTGCTGATTTTCTTCCCAAACAGAACTGCTATTTGCATATTGGTATTACAGTGAAATGCTTCTGGGCATGTTGCCACAATGATGTATCTCATGCCCCATGCTGTTGTGTCACACATACTGCATGCCCCTGCAAGAAGTATTCCTCTGTATTATACACAGTCTGCTGATACTGACAGCCTACTTAGGCTGACATTGTTACTGGAGGATAATGCATGTCTTGCTCTTACATTTTGTCTTACTCCTTTCTCAAACACCTTGTGCTCTTCACTGACTTCAGAAGAGAAAAAGCAGTGGAAAGTCAGACAAAGCCACATTACCGTTCACGTCTTCAATGTTGAAGTCATCTGGTAAAATCTGAGGCTGAGCTTTCACTTCCAAGTTCCGGCTCAGCCAGCTAGTCTGTTCCAGAGAAGAACCCGCAACAGTCCCTACAGCCTCCAAGATTTTTTGGGTCACCTCCTATAACATAACCAGACAACGTGGCATGAGATGAAAGCTATCGTCACTTAGCCAATCCAGCGAAGTCCTCTGTATATGGAACATGTCAGGAGGATCAGAAGTAGGCACTTTGATCTCTCAGAAACATAAATACTTCTCTGATTTAACTATCTCAGGGACTGAGTCTGAAGTTTGCCATAAAAATTGCTCTCAAGATAACTAACTGCTGCTCACTTCAAATAAGAACAGGCAAGAAATGAGAAACAGGAAAAACTGTTAGCTTGTCATAGAGGTTTTAGTCATGATTTTCCACGCAAGCCATTACCATTAACATAGTATCAATTCAGCATCAGTCCTGCCACAATTTACACATTAGCTGTCACCTGCCAAAGACATGATCTGAATTGTTCAGCTCCCCAGAAATGGCATACCAATGCCTTTGTCGTTTGGAATACTGTTAATTTTTTATTCCTTTTATGTTTGGAGAACATTAAGTGAGGCAGGGTTTTATTTTATGCAACCCATCTGTTCTTATTTCAGTCTTTCTATTCAAGGGTAAGCAAGACACAGCATCAAACAACACACATAGCCACAATTCAGCGTATTTCATTCCTAGAGAAATGAAAAGCTGGTCACTCTGGTCAAACAAAATCCCAAGTATCCAAAGCAAAGCAGAGATGACTTGTGAAAAGGCTTTAAGATGGTAAGATGGCAAAACTGTCTTTTTATCATCATTTTTCTGGCCAGTTTCTGAAGCAGAAGTGGAGACTTAATCTCTCTGTTGGCACACTAAAGTAACCATAACAGAGCCAAAACCACCTGTGTGGGTAGTGCTTAAACTGTTCTGATGAAATTACAATCAGTGCAGGAGGAGAATCCTGCTCTACTCCACCCCATCTCTACACAGAAGGTGAGCTGAGAGTTATTCATGTTGCCAAACAGCTGTGAGCTTCAATGATAACTATGCTACTAATTTCCCTTGACAGTTTTGAGATTTCACTACTTACACATATGATATGAACTCGTGACACCATACTTGTGTCATGATTTAAATTCTGAGAAAAATCATAAAACTGCCCAGCTTTGAAAAGTCCATAGTTGCCACTGCGATTTCATGCATTTTGGACAAAATTTTGTTAGAGACCTTCTGTGCATCACATCTCCCGTATCTGAGTCTCTTATCTACCAGACCTAAGCCACAACACGTGGATGCACATCCATGCATGCTAAAAGCAGAGGTGAATTCAAAATACAGATCAGGCCATCTCCACTTTTACTTAGATGTACAGTGCCAGATTTATGAACTACAAGGTATACATGTATACACTGTACCTGCAAGTCTTTTTGGTCTTTTTTGTTTTCCAGAGTAGGCGTCCTAGTCACAAAGTCATTCAGAGTACTGTGGGAAAATCAATTCACTTCGAGTTAGTAATTGGACAGGTCTACTCAATGCACCTATAAACCTTCTTCTCTCTTACACAGTACCTGAGAAGAATAAAGTGTCCAGGAGGAGCCAAGTTCAACTGCACAGACTCTTTGAGAAGTCCTAATAAGGACTGGAAGTTCTCCTGCAAGGCTGACACAGGCAGTCTGCCAAAAAAACGATACCAAAACACACTCAGTTCTGAAGTTAGAGTTAAGGAAAAAACATGGATAACTTGATGGCCTAAAAGCTTCCATCAAGACCAGTCCTTTAGATCCTACCCCTTCCTATTTGGTCCAACAACACAGTATAAATATCCAGCAGCACAGGCAACATGCATGCAGCAGGAAATGTGCAGTATGTCACCCAGCGCTGTAAAGGGACTGGGGAGGGGGAAAGGAATAACGTTTAGCTAACCACTCCACTGCATGCCAGCTTACTTTATCTCCATAGCTTATTGCATACAGCATATTGTACAGTCTGGTATATCCCAAGGCTTCCATATGAGAAAAGCCAAGTATGTGAAGAAGAGTTTTGGTCAAAGGAATATTTCCAATCAACTGCCTGACCCACTACATGGCCAGCACAGACTGCAACCACAGCAGTTTTATTGAATTTAGAAGTTCTCTATCCATTCATCTGGCAACACAGAACAGATAGGGAGAAAAACCGTAAGAAATCTTGCCAAGGAGATGCCTGAAGTATGTTGCGGTATTAGTATGAAATGAGGCTTTCAGACTGGCATTATTGACAGATCAATGGAACATAATGTTATAGCCCAGATATTTTGTGTCTATCTGCTACTTAACAATGAAGTGGTAACAACCATTTCTTCCAGAAAGGTGTTCTGTGACATGAAGATCAAAGTAAAGCAAAAATAATGTTGCTGGCTGTTATCCTAACTAGAGTCAAACAGAAAATGCTATTTTACAATGACTGGATTACCTTTGAATGAAAGCATAACTGAACTGCAGCACTGGAATGTCTACAAGAGACGATTTCTGAAAAATAAAAGCAAAACTGCAATTATTTGTCATCAGGAAAAAAAAAAAGGTCCAAGCTGTTGAACACTTGTGTTCAGTGGTTATCACACCCTTCTTCGAGGCCACCCGCACTCCAACAGGTGACCAACGATGGTAAAACTATCTACGCAGCAGTCCGAAGTAATTCAGGGCTTTAATAGAGGACCCTAGTTCAGAAGCAGTTACGTTACTTTGGGATATCTGCTGCAGTTTACTGAGCTGCAGGAGCTCCTACAATGGTGTGCATGGTAGCACAACTGGTTTCCTTGAAAGCCAGTTGGAAGACAGCAGACTCAAAATGAAGTATTTCTAACTGTTCAGGTAAGGGTGGAGAGAGAGAAATGTGTCACTGAGTTGTGTACCCGCAGCAGCTTTATGAAAATTGTCATCATCTTCGGTACTGGAGGACCTCATGCGTTTTCATTATGAAGAACTTCTCTACCAAAATATTCTCAAGTAGCTACCTACACTGATGGATCAAAACACAGAAGCCCACATTCTAAAAACATAACTTATTCCGAGCAACAGAGAATCACACATTAAAAAAACAAACAAACAAACAAACCCCAAACCCAAAAAACCCAAACTTTCCTTCTAACAATATTTAGAAGACTCGTTGGAATAGATCCAGAATAGAATATATTAAGAGAATGGAATTATCTTCATGGTTACCTCTTCACCCTTGATTTGTGATGGTTTCTTGACTACCTCTTTGACTAGATGTAAGATAGTGTCAATTTTCAGTGTGTTAAGTGCACATATTAAGTCCACAAGAATAAGCTGAGATGCACTAGCCACTGGAGGAATCTGAAAAAACAAAAGACAAACTTCAGATCACTGTATGATACAAAACAAAGTTCAAAAACCAGCTTTTTGTGTGAATATTCAAAAATCAATACTTATACAAAACTTAAATTAGACAAGTTAAATCAGGCATGCAACAATTGGTCATATACAGATCTTGTCCCAAAACCTTCATGAAAACAGCTTCATTATGCTCAAATGAAAGCAGAAAAGAAAGGTGTTCTCAAAATAAATGCTTAGTTCCAGAGAATACTACAATTCTAGTCTTTCTCTGGAAATGGAGCTAATCCAGTATTGCATAAAAAATGGCTATTACTATCAGACTACTGCCATACTTTCCTTTTCATCTGATTTCTTATATAGGTTTAATTGTAGTCTTGATGATTTTTGAAATTATGTATAAATAAGACTGATTCAGATTTTTTTAGTGACTTGATACTGTCACATGTAAAAAACCCAAAGAATCTACAAAGAAGCCAAGAGTTTAGAACTCATTATATAAATGTAACATCTGCCTTTACACTGGAAAACTAAGGGTGCCTTTCTTTAGTTTCACCTTGATTTTACTTTGATTCCGATGAGGTTTCTTGCTATTCCACACTGCTGCAATCGCTGCCATCAACTGGATTCCAAGTTGTGCTGTCAATGGATTCATGAAGTCCAGTATTTTAGTTCTTAATGTCTGTAGAGGGAAAAAAGTAACTGTCAGTGCTTAACTTTGTTCAGAAAATGCAGAACAACAAATGAATCAGTCAGAGTAGTTTTGATAATTTATTTATGGGTTAGTGTAACCTGCTTATAGATGGAAGGTACATTGGTTGGAAAACAGATTGCAAAATAGAAAAATTAACTTATTGTGTTATATTCTGTCTTCTCCTACAGATATTTTCCACTGCTATGATTTACCAATATCCACAGAAGAAGGGAAAAGTCTGATATTTTTATTCCTAGGTACATGTTCTGCTGCCTGTGGAAGGTGCAGAAAATTCAGCGGTGGTTGGCTCTACAGCAGCTACTGACAGAAGCTCACAGAAGAAGGAAACATTAAACAGATCAGGTAAAGGTGCAGGTGTGCAAAAAGAGCAGGGACAAATATACTTTTTCAGGTAGATACTGTGCAAGTCTCTAGCTCTTGGGAGTTCTTCAAAAATTCTTTGGGACCCAGTATCATTCTGGGAATGGCAAAACTATTCCTACGAACTCCATGTAAAATAGAGTGAGGGAGGGCATGAACAGGATGATGAGATACACAGCAGTTTAACAGAAGTCCTACTTTGGTTGCTTTAAAATAGACCGAAGAAGAGCCTTTAGTTGTTCCAAAGAAGTCAGTTGGTCTTTTTTGAGAGTCTTCCCTCTTTATAACACTCCAGAGAAGGGACATGGTATTAATAATGCGAGGCAATTCTTCCAAAATGGCATTCCTAGCATTTCTCAGGTTTGCAGGTTCAGCTAAACATGATGACTAGAAAAAACAAAAATAAGAATATTAAAATACATTATATTATTTATGCACCACAGAGTGACGGCTCCTATCCTGAAATTAGGCGAATTATAGTGAACTTTTGCAATGACAACTTAAAAAATAATTCAATCATTCAATTTCTGAAATATACTGCTGCTGTTTGAGTCTACTGAATTTGCTGTTCACCATTTTGGCACAGAGAGAATTGATTTGTCTAGGAAATTATTAGGACAATATCCTCTTCTGACAAGTGTTGTAGAAATAAAAATTGTAGAGAACACATCAGCATGTTATCAACTCAAGAGAAAATAGAAGATTTTGTTAATGACAGAGCAACTCCAGACAAGGTACACAAGACTAATATTTGTGCGACCAAGATCATCATGAACATCTGCTTAAAATTAACTTTCTTGTCTTCAAATCGAAAAATTAAGTTCAGTCCCCCTCCCTTACATTTTTACTTAGTTCACTTGTTTTGGTGTGCTACGAGGGTTCTCCGAGGTTATCTTCTCGTACAAGCACCACGCTACTACTTATATTCACCTCTGAATGAAGAGGGGACGCATACTTCGACAAACTGGTGCTGAGGCGACAGGTGGGTGGTAGGCATTAAGCACTCACCTTTTTAGTTTGGTTAGGGTGATCCAGAAGGCAGAAGTGACTGATGGTTGTCAGACCTTCCAAAAGGGTTAATGGGTAATCAGGTGTAACATTTTCTCTTTTAGAAGTTAAACTTCAGAGGGAAAAAAAGAAAAAAAAAACCAAAACCAAAAAAAGGTTAACAGGCCAAGTGGTATTTCATAGATTAAAAATTCCAGGAGAAATCTGTTTCTGTTTAATGGATGAAAGAATGCTGGAAAGACCAGACAGGAATATCGAATCAAAGGATTCACAAACTATGCTTGGACAACCCTGTTTCCTTGTCTATTCTTTTATGGTCAGGTAGGGAATAATATTCTAAATCTTTCACATCTAATTATTTTTCCCTAGTCCCTTCAATTACTGCTTGTTCTGAACATATTATTTTTCTTCTCCAGGGTCTCTCCTCCCAATTAGTCCTCTAAAATCCTCTTTTTTTTTTTTTCCAAAACTGGGAACTTTTTACTTGGGTGGCAGGCAGAGGGGGACAGGAAGTATCCCAGCTGCTGGTCATTCATGAAACCACAGCGAGCCCTGCTCCAATAATACTGCCTCCAGGGCACCTGGGCCCAAGGGACAGATGCCTGCATGTGCAGCAGGGTCAGAGGACCAAACTCTAGGAGTCACAGTGCTAAACCAGCAAATTACTATGTACTACACTCTAGTAAGAGAAACTTAAAGTATCAGCGTAACAAATCCCAGACTGCATACTCTTCTTACCTTGCCGATGTTTTTGCTGATGTCTTCACAGCTTCATTTTCATACTGTTTGACAAGCTCATCCAGGTTTTTACATATCTGTACAACAAATGGTGCCACAGTCCAGCCTAAAGACTTCCCAAAATAGGGCAGGGAACATGTGACTAAGCCAACCCAAGTAGGATGCATCCCATAGCCGTACTCTGGCTGCAAACCTCTAACCACAGCAGAGACGAATAATCCCTGTGAAGTTATAGGGTGTGGATAGACATACTGCATCGCACCGATAGCCTGCTGGAAATTAAGAGCCTGCTGCCACTCCTTAGAGAGGTCTGGCTGATTCTCCTGCTCCTCTTGAGTCTGTCCAATATGGTGCTCCAAGACAATCAATACCTGCAAGAGCTTCAGCAACTCAATCTGGAGTGGATGTTCGCTCCATATTTGATCATGCCCAAAATTGATTAGGCTCTCCTCAAAGAGTTCTTCTTCAGGAACATTGTTAACACCACCTGCCGTGAGCAGTTCATACCGTTTCTGACTTGTATACATAGATGCAGACAAAGAGAGAAGAACAAACTCCTGAATTTTGCATCTTCCTAGCAAATTGCGTATGAACTCTATGTTCTTATTCTCTGCTGCCTTTGCCATGGTAGCTAGCTGGGTCATCATTCTAATCAGGACTTCCACACTTTTTACCTGAACATCTCGGTTGCCAAGCACATCTCTGTGTGTGACCTTCAGGTAGCACGGATAATACGAGCGCAGAAAACTGAGACACAGGTACGTGAGCAATTCTATTAGAAGAGAATGGGGACACATGGTTGGGGACTGAGCCTGCAGTTTGCCATAAAAGCTTTGACCTACAAGGGCTTCCTGATGGCGAGCTAAGAGGTTGTAAATAAGATTCAAATGTGCTGTGGAGCTGGTATCCATGCTTGTACTAGCTACAGCTTCAATAAATTCTTTAGGGTTTGTTTTAAGCACTGCCTCCAGGACAGAAAAAGCATACAATACCCTCTTAGAATCATAAGGCTGCAAATACAACAGCATGTGTTTGAAGAGAGCCTCAATCATCTCCTGTTTTTCCTTCTGCTGCTTCAGCAACCTCGAATGGGTAATTTCCTGGAGCTCCAAGTCCACCTCTTCATCACTTGACAGAGACTCTGACGCTTGAGTCCTCTCAGAGTCAGCACGCACCAGGTTTAGCGCTACACTGGATTTGGAGCTTTCGGGAAGGAAGGCATTAAGAGAACTCACATGGTTTGTGGTCTCTTTGCCATCGGTTGCAGCACTGTCATTGTCCTCATTGCTCACTTCTTGTAGCTCCAGAGAAGGGGAGAAAGAGGATGTATTTTCACTGTCATGGCCTGTGCTGGTATCTGCTGATTCTGTGTGCTCACTGTTATCTTGGTCGCCATCTGCCTCATGTGAAGATACTGGATTACAAAAGCCATAGTTTTCAGACTGTTCAGTTTTTAACTCTGGATTCTCTGGATCTTTTTCCACTTCTGCCCAAATTGCTTCTCTATCCACAGTAGTAAACTGGCTCAATGGAAGGTTTTCCTCAGAATTGCTCTCAGAGATGCCAGACTCTTTCAAGGAGGCCTTTTTCTTGCAAAGCCAATGACGTATATCGTCTGAAAGAAAAAAATTGTGGTGTGTTTTTTTTTCCCCCCCCAAAAAACCCTATTACTGTCTATTTTACACAACTTGCTTTATATAAAAGATAAATCACTGGAAGAAAAAAAGGGTTAAAAAGCTAGTCTGCTCTAGTCTACTATTGATTGTTTCAAGTGGAGCTAAAACCATGCTGGGTTAAGGCAAGAATTATCATTTTTTTGAAGTGGTAGAGCAGTCCTAACCTACTGTAAGCGCAAGAGACTAGGACCAAAACATAAAGCACGTGCTGTTTCTCCTACACTATGAAACTCTTGATGTGACATTTTTTTTTACTGCTTCCTGAGCATAAAAAGTTTGTTGCGATCAGGAGGGAAATGAGAAGAATAGCAACAGAGAAATTTTATTTTTTTTAAAGAGCTAATGTTTTCCTTGATTACAGGCTGTGGAACAAGGAAGGAATATATTAGCTGTGTATGTATAGCATTTAATAAACAGGTCCCTTTGGATGCTATAAATGTCTGCCATCTAACTATTTGCCAATCAAGACAGAAAAACAATTATTCAAGCTGACAGCTAGATTAACAATAGTGAGACAGACAGGTGACACGCAAGTTTCTTTACACAAAACTACCAGACACTTCTCCACTGTCTTCCTGCTCTGCTCCAGAAAACAACCTTGGCTATTTGGGTCAAATGGCAGACTGTCTCATATCCATACCGCTCCCAAAAATCCCAAACCTGAACAGACTCCCAGCCTTTGCAGGACTCCGCACTTACAGCAAACGTTGTCTCTGTACCTGTCTCAGTCTTCCTCAGCTGCTCCCCACAGGTCTGTCACATTTGTCTGTTCCACATTTGGCACACATATCATACGTGGTTCACAATGGTTCTCTTTACAGGTCTTAAAATGGACTTCTTCCAGCTATCAAATTTAGCCTGCCAAGGTAAAGACATCTTGCCACATTCCTAAAGTTGGGTGGCTAGAGGTCATCTTCAATTCCAAACACCTCTCTTTGCTTCTACATCCTACCTCTGGGATATGTCAAGACACCTGCCACAAGGGGTCAGCTCTCCTCTTGAGTCAAGACAGATCTTCTTTGAAAAAGACATTCTAATTTTTAGAAGTTAGCAGAATTAGGGGTTTCTTTTGTGTGTGTGGTGTGTGTTCTACACAGCAAGATGTTCCTCACAACGTGTCATTATTTTAACATGATGCTGAAGGAATCATTAACAAAAAATATCCTGAATCAAGAAACCCGGTATGAGGGTGTGTGGTGTACTGGGGCAAGACTGGGCAGAGAGAGTGAGATTTCCCTGTCCATCCTGCCTACTGGAACAGTTCCTGGACTGACATAGTCAGCAAACTGTTCCTGGATTTCATTTGGTTGCAGACCTAGTTTTGCTCAGGTAGGGATCCTGTAAACAGTGAACACACATGCAGTGTGGATCATCTGGGAATGGCAATGAGAAGTGTGGGATAAGATCCCAGAGCAAAGCAGGGAGCAATCCAAACCAACAGTGGTAGGTGCAGTCACTGTAATAGAAATGATCATTGGGCCTTCAACTAGCATGACTTACTCCTGAACTCTGGTTTAGGCATCAGTAGTGGTACCTGGATGAGGAGGAATCTATGGAACCGATACAAGACAGCTCAGGGTCATAGGATGCCATTGCACTTCAGAGACTACCTTCAGTAGGTGTTCAGGAGTACGCAATGCTACGTGAGCACATAGAGTTTCAGTCCAAGAACGGTTTTACCTGCTGAATTTTTCTGTTTGATGTAGTGGATGGACGTGCGCTGTGTCTTTGGATGAAGCAGCAGCAGCAGGACTGGTTCAAGAATCCGTGCAACATCATTAAGTGAAAGAGCACGGATCAGCCAGCCCTGTGCTGCAGCACCAATTGCGCCATCTGAACAATTGAGACTGTCCAGTACCACAAACAGAGACCTGAGTGGAGAAATCAGAACGAAGAAGTACAATGAAACCCCTAAAAAATTAACGCAAACAACAAAATAGCGGCAGGGGACGGGCACAGAGCGTGTACAAGT